GAAATTTTGCTCCAGCCGTGACCTGTTTAGCTCGGTTTGAAAGAAATATTGTGTTCTTGTCCTTGAAATTCATCAGAAAAACTTATCAGATTGTATGAAATGCCTTGAAAGCATTGGTGGAACACGAGAAAAATCATAGTCGATGGCGTAGATTTTGGTGAGATTGAGATGTTCTGATCCCTGAAATTTCACATATGTAGTCCGATCATTTGGAACTGAAGGAAGGAAAAAAGATGGTCCGCAAGTTGCTCCAAGTGACAAAGTTTACGAGTACATACTGTTCCGTGGAACTGATATCAAGGTATCCAACAGGACTATGCTAATGATTTTATGTCGTCAGCCTGCGCTTTTTGGGCACTAATTGTTCTTGTCGTTGGCAGGATTTGCAAGTCAAAGCTTCTCCACCAGTTCAGCCTCCACCTACTATAAATAATGACCCTGCTATCATTCAGGTAGGTGAATGGGGGACGATGTTATATTCTAAATATTGTCTGTGATTTTAGAGTCAATTCATGTATAGAGTAGACCCAGTTCAGCCTATAAATAATGACCCTCCTCCGCTTGTCTTTTGCAGTCTCACTACCCTGGTCCGATGCCAACATCGAGTAGCTTGCCTTCTACCGCGAGTGGGTCACTGCCTGACATTAGTCCTCTCAATGCACAACCTGGACAACATCAGATGGGATTTCAAAACGGAATGCCTTTGTATCAACCTGGCGGGAATCTTGCTTCGTGGGGAGCATCACCACAACCGCCAATGTACTGGCCAGGATTCTACACCCCTCCACCTCCCAATGGCCTTCCCCAAATGCATCAACAGTCTCTGATTCGACCCCCTCATGGGCTGCCAATGCCCAGTTCTCTGCAGCCGCAGCCCCTGCAATATCCTAACTTTAATGCCCCTCCACCTACTGGTTCATCAAATTTGCAGGGTTCAAGCTTGCCAGAACCACCCTCTTCATTGTTTCCTTTTAGTACCAGTTCTCAGAATCTAGCACCGGGTTCATTGCCTTTCTCTGGCCTACCTATGCCGCTGTCTTCCGGCCTGCAATCAGCACCATCTCCTTCATTAGCTTCAGAGATGGCACCTCCTTTGCTTTCGAACAAAGCTCCTAGTGCTTTGCCTCCTACCCTACCTCAGGATACTGATTTGCTTTCCTTTTCTACGAGAGCCACCGAAACAAGTGCTGGCCTTCCACTGTCTAACAAGCCTAGTGTAGTTACTGGTCCAATTTCTGTGCCGCAGACAATACCGTTAACAACTGCTCCTGTTACTGGAGTTTCTAGTTCCATTAGCCAAGATAAGCCAAAACCTTTGTTGGTTACTCCTGGCCAACTGCTGCAGTCTGGATCTGCTGCAGTCTCTTTGTCCCCACCCTCTAAAAATGCTGATAAAGATGTCGAGGTGGTTCAAGTATCATCATCAGCTGGGTTGGAACAATATGTTCCAGTTTCATCAGAAGCCCAACCTCCAATACTGCCATTGCCTTCCTCTGCAAGGCCAACCCAGAAGGTTTTAGACTCACATAATTTTTGCAATTTTTATATCCACTCGTCAGCTCTTTAAACGATATTGCTGCTTCACTTATTGATATGACAAATAGCCTTGCATTNTAGATAAGAGTTTTTGAGGAGTAATGCACACTCTACCTGAAATGATCTTTGCATTTGCTGATTGCTGAGTTAAGTGGAATAACCTGTAGCTGTTATATTTGCACCTGTGCTAATGCCTATTTTATTTTTC